GAAATCATGATTCGGAGTGCTACCATAGTACATTACTTTGCTTTGAAATCCGTTATAGTTTTTAAGGAAAACAGCTTATCATAATATAAACAATTTGACTGGTAAGTCGGATCAAAAGGCTAAGTTTGACAAACAGTAAAAGTCAGCGGAAATCGTATCGTGGCAAAACATTTAACTCCAACTACGGGAGATAGTAACAGCACTGCTATGCCAAATTCAAACTGTATAAACATGATCCTGAACCGCCCGTCAGCTCGCTCCTCCTGTCCGACTCTGTGACCTGAAAAACATAGATGAACATGGGGTGTGAGCACTAAACCACTATGCTTCGTAGAAACTCATACTAAAGTAAACAGTGAAAATAATTGCAATATCATGATCCTGGCATATTCATAACCATCAACATGTACCGGTAAAGCATTACCACCACATAACCGTTACTTCATCTGCCAGCATAAAAATGTCGGACACCATGTGCACACTCTAGTGGGCAGACTAGGCCACTAGAACCTACAATGGACCGGCGACCATTCCAAGCGGATACATAACATAACGTGGTACATACCTCAAACATGGTACCGTAATTATAATCAATGTAATACCCAGTCTGATTCCCCACCTGAACCGTCGATATGAAAATGGTAGTGCTGATAACTGTGGACTGATCAAACTGTAACATGATATAAACAAATACTAAGTACTATACTCAAGCTGATTAAAATAAATGTTTAATATGTTAAGATGCTCGACTTGAACATGACATGACACTTAGACCGAATCGGAATAGCTGGGACTGGTTTAAAATGGAACTGGACTGATATGACTGAACTAAACCGGACTGGATCTAAAATTTAACTGAAATCCTGACATGAACATGGACTGGATTAATAAATATTAAAACATGAGATAAACCGGTCTGAACCGTCCGGTCTGCAGTCTGGCCAGACTGCCGGCCTGCTGTGACTGGTTGTCGGCCGCTCGGTCCCATGCTGGCCTGCTAAAGACCGGGTGTGGTCATTGGTGTGGACTGGTTAGGGCTTGATTGCTGCCGAGCCTGACTAGCACGGCTGGGCACGGTAGAGCACGACTGGCGTGCGGCTAGTCCTGACCTGAACGCTGGCAGTGCCATTGGCTTATCGCTTGCGCATGAAATGACCATCGGCACTGCTGGGCACCACAGGCGTTAACCTGACCGACTGAACATGACTTCGGGCAGTAGCGTGTGACTAACGCGCGCTCATGGACTGGCCATCGAGTGCAGCTGGGCACGATCGACGGTCGACTGGACTCGTGGCGTGGCGATTGAAGCTGTCGGGCACTGTGAGTGCCGGCACTTGCACGACTGGGCACTGTCGGGCGCTACCGAGCGCCACCACAGGCGACTGGACACTTGCATGCGCACACTGGCGCTGACTGGCGTGAGTTGGTACTGCTCGGGCACTGCCGGGCGACCCTGACGGTACATGGCGCTCGGGCGCGCTGTTGGGCACTGCCCGAGGCCGACTGACGTGCAGCTGAACGCACTAACGTGCGCTGGAACGTGCTGGCGTGACCGAGGTACCAACCGACTATCGACTGACGCGGCAGAGGCCATACGCGCGCCCGACTGAGCATACACGCATAACGCCCGCTCGTCCTGTCTGACTGCCGGTACGCTGCAACCGCTGTGTGCGGCAGAGCGACTACGACTGCTCCTTACCGACCGTCCGTCGACTTTCTCCAACAATTTGAACTTGGATCAACATGACTTAACACAACATGAATAAATACACATAAATCGGTCGAATGACCATAAATATAACTCGATAATACGTGAACGGCCGTGGCGTGTGCACCGTGCGCAGCCCATGGCTTCGACCGATTTCTTCAATCGATCGACGACTTCTCCCGACAATTGATACATGGCTGATCATAATATATCCAATAATGACTAAGGAAATGTGAATTGTTCGGGAGTTTCCGAATAAAAATAGATATGGCTTGACATGGCTTAAATGGTACGATCGAGAGCAATTTATGGCTTATTCATGAGCTTAAATATATTATTATAACCTAACATGATAAAATTAACATTAAAATAGGGTCAAGATCAGATTACACTCTCAATTTCTCGGTCAATTGTGCAAAACTCTTGTGATCGGTCGGTCCTTGCTTTATCGTACGTGCATGCGATTCTTCTCCTTCTCTGCGGCTTGCTTAAGCTTAATTATAGGATAACTCTCTTAACTCTCAACTAATATTAGCAGGTATATGGGATTCTCTTTTACTTACAGTTATAACCTATAAATAGGTGATAAATGGTAAAAGAATGTGGTAGCCAATCAATTGGTGCCATTTGTCATGAGCTTAGGGCATGAGGTGTACAATTCTTGGCTTAGTCATCTAATGTATGCTTAGTCATCACCCTTCTAAGTCTCCACATGGCTTAGTAATGATGATGAGTCAAAAATGGCATTGCTCCACATGACCTTCGGCAATTGTGCGTGATAAGCTTACCTTAAGCATAATTGGCATAAATTAAGCTTTATCATACCAAGATAATGGGCATTTGTTGCTAAACTTGGTTAGCACACGCATAAGTCATGCGATTAGGCAAAAACCCTCGACCGTTGACATGAGTTAAGCGTGATGGATTCGATAATGAACTCTAATACTTAGAAATTATTTCCAAGTATTAATCTTAACCGAACTTAAATTATTTCGGTCGAAACTTGACTTCAAAAACTAATTCGAATAATCATAACTTTAATAATTAGTCCCGAATGATAACGGTCGATATAAAATAAATATTTCAGAACTAAACACATAATTTACATTATTAACATAGCGGGCTATTACACTGCGGCAGATATACTGCTCAATCTTAGGAATCTGTTCGGACACCAGTCTAGGGCTGCTAGGCAAGAGGCCATGAGTGCTCTGACGACTACGCGCATGGCAGAGGGCACACCCATAAGGGAGCATACTCTCAAGGTTATGGCGCTACTCAATGAGC